GTGCCTTAGAACATTCCAGGGCAGCTGCAAAAGCAGACACCCTCACTTTATCCTGGATAATGGGCTCAAAAGTTTTCCATTGCCAGGGGCACCAATTAATTTTTTTTAAGGGAGGTGGTAGGCCAAGTAAGCCTGGGGACCTATAGTCATGCCTGGCACTTCCTCCAGCAGTATGACCCCTGGTGAACGCCCAATGCACGTAGGTTACCAGTAAGCCTTAGAGATCAGATCGGGTACTTCTGGCAGCTGAGCTGAATCTGGGTTAACCGACTAACATGGTGGTATGCTTTGGGGCTCTCAGTTGCCCACAGCACGCTCTGTAGTTGCCTACAGCATGCTCTCCAAGTTACCTACAGCGTGCTCGGTGAGCTGAGCTGGGAGCTGTCTGAGTTGTTCAGCCACGTACTCCTTGCTATCGCAAAGGGAGTAGAGAATGTTGTCTGTGCCATCTTCCCCAAAGCCAGGAGCGCTGCCGTTATCAACTTCCGTGTCATCAAGTACGCGGATATCCATCATGTCGATATTCTGCAGGTGCTCCAGACTGGTTTCCATCTCCTCCTGGGAAGAGGAGGGACAAGCAGAGGTGAGCGCCTGGGCCAGCAGACAGAGAGCCACTTCGGTCACCTTGCCACGGCTGATGCCACTCAGCCACATACCTGGCCATCTCTGGAATCTTCCTCCAGGCCATTGTCTTCCATGCTTTCCTCCTCCGTCTTCAGTCCTAATGACAGAGTAATTGTTCAATCAGATAACACTCAATTTCTGGTCTCCTGATTAGTTTAGGCAGCACGATGCTCTTCAAGTTTGGGGTAAACACGCTGGCGTGGAAGGCAAGACCGAGGAGCAGGCAGTTTTGTCTCAAGGAGCATTCTCAGTAAGCCTGGAGCTAGCTGTTGGCATTTTTGTGAATACTGCAGTGTCCAGCCCAAGCCAGCCTGCGAATCTGCTTCTGGAAACCAGCTCAAGAAAACCCCACGGATGGCCATGACCCAACCACGCCCACGCACAGGGATGGCACAGGACAGGCAGCATTTCGCTGCCAACTGTCAGGGTTATCTCATGGGTGGTGGCCTACGATGCAGAAGACACCACCATTCGGCCAACAAGCACTAAAGATTTGGCGCACAGGATCCCCAGTGCCTGGGGGAGATGCCCTTAAGTTCTCTACACCTTTTGTCATTTTGAAAACCAGGGGATGTTGTGGCACAGTGGAGACAGGGCCTTTTATCAGCAGTGGTTAAAATCAGCCGTTGTTTTATTTTTACCTGCCAAAATTTCAGCAGTCCCAAACGACCTTATCTTTTTAAAAAGAACATTAAACTTTAATAAAATCACAAACACACCTCAATCTTAGACAGTGCCTTTCCCACCTCCCGCTATTATTAAAAAGAACTGCAGAGACTTAAGTTGCCTAAAGCATCAGGCAGGGTGGTTGAGGGTGGATGGTTGCAAGTGGCTCCCTACCACGCTGCTGCAAGCTCGGTGGACGGTTCATTCTGACCAGGCCAGCGCAAACGCGACGGAGCACAGCGCTGTGCCACACTTGGGGTCACCAGTGACTGGTGACGGGGACCTCTACGACCCACTACATAACACTGCCGACAACAGCAGTGGTTTCCCAAGCTTCACCTGACACTGAGGAATGACTGGGCTGAGTCTTTTTGGAAACAGCCATGCCAAGCTCCTCATTAAACAGAACTCTTGTAGAAACAGTGTCTAAAAATGTCTGACCTCTAACTGGCGGTCTGCAGGGCCCACACACTGATGTTATCAAGGATAGCAATGGCCAAAGACCGCAGCCACATACCCTCCTATTCAGACGCGTCATGAGAGCAAGCTTTCCCTCAGAAAGTAAGTTGCGACTCTTAAAATCCTGTCATCTCAACATGGTTGCAACGTCTGGAAAATATTTGGTTAATGCCTCTTCCTCAACACTTGTAGGTAATTTTGAGAATCTACTCTCAACACACAACCAAAGGCCCAGGCATTCCCAAAGAATGTCGCCAGCTCAGCATCTGAGCACCATCCCGTGGGCCACCTTAGAGCTGGGCTTGCTCCCCTGCCACGGAGTCACCTTGGACCTATGAGAGCCCAGAGTCCAAGAGGGCAAAACACTGCCCATCCCCAAACAAGCCCCGAGACCCTGAGATCGATCAGTTGCAGACAGGACCAGGGTGAGCCAGGTGGTTTTCCTTGGCTGGCTTTCTGCTAGCAATAGATGGCCAGAACTTGCTTGCTAGCCTATCTTAGTCTGGAAGTGCCACTGAAACATGTCATGTTTGGCATCCTATCAAAACACAGGCCTCCACTGAGCCAGGTGGTGCCTGTGCATGGAGTACATACAATGGCTGGGAGGGAAGCCCGAGTTTCCTGTATGGAAGGCAGGAATTCTACCACTGAGGCAGCATGACCGCCCCAGGGTGTAGCTAATGCTCAGCAACAGGGGGCATGACCAGACCTAACCCGTATGTGTCGAGGTTTTAAACACTCAACAGCAAGAGAAGCAAGTTTCAATAAATTTCTTTTAAAAAAATATTAACTCCAAATAGTTTGTTTGTTTGGTTTTTTTAAAAATAAATTTTGACCCAAGTTTTAACCCAGGATTTAGACAGGCAAAGGTTGAACTCTTCCTATGACAGAAAGAACCATTAGGGGCCAAGGCCATTTTTAAAAGAATTAAGCTTTGCACCTCACAGTTTTAAATGAGCAACCACATTAAATAAACACACACACACTTTCAAGTCCCTCCATTCAAAAAACAGACTTTTAGGTCACCGATAATTTGACATCTCACCACAAGAGGCATCTCACCACTAGAGCCCAGCCTCTCACATCCTGTCCTCGCCGGGAAAATCAAAGCTCACAGCTGAAATGTGGCGCATTTCTTTAATAGTATAAAAATATTGGTGACAATTAAGCTTAAGCTCGTGCCCTTTATAGGACCTACAGCCTAAAAAAGGTCACCTTGGGAGCATCAGGTAAATGTTTTTCTAGGCACAAGCTGCCAACATGAGTAAACTAGAGATGTGGCCAATGCTATACAGCCAGTTCTATTTTCTGGGCAGCTGCCCACCACCGTCGGGGCAAGGTATGCGTTCAGATGAACGGATGTATGCAGCTGTGAGAATCAGCCCGTGCGGCAGACTGTGACGGATCCTGAATTAAGTCACAGAAAACACAGCCATGAGGATGAGAGTCGACACATCAAGGTTTCCCACTTGTAGAAAAAAACGCATGCCCCCACATCACACCACACTGGCATGGGCTTTAAAAACAAACACCAGTAGGCGAGGTGCTCCAACCAGGCACACCTTCAAAGGACATGCTGAGTTAGCCAGGACAAATGGTCACAGTATGAGGTTCCATTCTTACAAAATCCTCAGCAGCAGGTCCACAGCCACCATCACCCCTCATAGATTAGATACGTTCGTGGTTGCCCAGGGCAGGGAGGAGGCCATCGGAGGAGTGTGAAGAGGATTTCCTGACATTTGATAGGGGTGCTGGTGACCTGGGCTTGTGAACAGGCTGACGTGCACTACTGGAACCCCTTACATCAATGAATGCCACGGTGTCCGAGCTGTAGCTACTAAGAGCTTGCTGAATTGTACACGTAAAAAAGACTGAGATGGAAAATGTTTTGTTATTTATACATTTTCTAGGGTTGAGAGAAAGACCCTATGCTTGGACATGGATTTGGTGCAAGGGACCCCCAACAAACCATCCCAGCCCTCATCAATTGGGTCCCCATCCTGGAAAGAACCCTGGTGGGACAGTGGTGAAGGGTTCAGTTGGCCACCAAAAGGCTGGGGGTGGGTACCTGCCCACTAGCACTGTGGAAGTACAACCTGGCAACCTGCTCCTGTCAATAAGACTGTAGGTAAGTCTCTCTGGGGTACATGGGGTTGCTAGGAGTTAAGAATAGAGTGGACAGCACCCAGCGACAACATTCAGTCTTGGGTTGGTGGTGGCTGCCTTGCTGAGAATCTTTTCTTTTGAGCCAGGAAGGTCGCCAGGTAGGGCCATCTGGTTGGCCAGACCAGTTGCAGCAGCTCCAGGAGGCCTTCCTCTGTAAAAACAATTACCTGGCACTTGCTCCAGCACCCTTGACACACAGCTACTTGTTAGGTGAGGAGCCAGCCCGTTTCTTCAGCCAGGGGCCACTGAGGCCCAGAGAGCACCACCTCCAGGCCAAGACGACAGGAGGACACAGCCAGTCCTTGAAGCTCTTTAAAAAGGGGCCCTGCCAATGCCACGGCCAAGGGCCTGGCGACTGAAAGGCTGGCAAGGCCATCATGGTGCCCTCAAAGTGATGGTGACTCCTAGCTATCTATGAGACAACACAGAACTGCCCCCCCCCTAAGGTTTCCGAGGCTATACTATATATATTTTCCAAAACCATTTTATTGAGAGTTCATATCGTTTCCTAATTGCCTGTCACCTGTACAGGACAGACTGCCAGTTTATTTTCTGCCACTGGACTTCTGGTTAGCAGCCAAGTACTTCACTATTGCACCGGTGGGGCTCCTTTGGCCTAGACAAGATGACCACTTCTACTCTGTCACCTGGGCTCACTGGGAAGGGACTTAACAGCACCCAACAAAAAGTAGTTCTCGGGGCAAGGGGGCTTCAAGCAACAGCATATGCAAAGCGGGTACCTTTAACGGATCTCTTTGAGGTCTTCTTGCTGGTGGTGTCTAAGTCCAGGTTAATTTGGTCCGGATCTTGCCCTTCTTCCTTGACAGCCTATTTGGAAAGGGATGAGAGTTAGGGTTACCAAGCGCTGCCGGCCTGGCGCAGGCCCCAAGCTTTCCGAGTACCAACCTCTCACGCCATGAAGGCAGGCAGTTGCTTTGTAGAATGCAACTCCAGAGATTGCTATTGGGACTGCAAGTGCACCCCTTGGATCCTCTCTGGGCCCAAGGCTGAAAGAGGTACAAGTGGGAGCCCCAGCCCTGGGGTCAAAGGTCAGCTCCTCTCAGGTACTGGCTAAGCTGCCAGAACAAATAATGAAGAGGCTGAACGTGATCCTTCCTGGGCACAGGACTAGCTGGTGGACAACAGGTCATCTCTGCCCCCATTCGGAAGACCCACTAATTGCCAGGGTAGGTGGCAGGCAGGGGGTGACTTTCACCAACAGGTATTTTGGGGTCTCCGGTGGGTGTGGATGGTGTAGGACTGGGTCTTCGTTCCTTAAGAGTCGCGAAGAGGCCTCTACCCCTCCCGTAGCTTGCTCTAGTGGGGGGAGGCACAACGGTGTCCTCCGTCCCCTCCCCCCCTCAGCCAGTATACGAGTTTGTCTTGAGGGCTGGCGGATGGGATCGCTTCGGAATGCCTGGAAGTGGATGGTCCAGGGAGGTGACAGGTCACGAGGCACCCGCCAAGGGGACCTGGGCAAAAGCAGTCCGGGTGGAAGGCGGGGCAAGTGCAAAGGTCCCGGGGCAGGAAGGAACGCAGCCTCCCTCCACTCGAGCCTCTTCAGACACCCCGTGAAGTCGGCGACCTCCAACGCCAGGGGAGGGACCGGGGGCGGGCAAGGCACTGTTCCAAGGTCACGGCGTGGGCACTCCAACTCGCGCCCCAGGAAAAGGCCAAGGGCCACCCTAGGGGGCTGAGAAGGCCAGCTTCCGCGCGCGCGCGCGCGCGGGGCAAGTGGCTCGGAGGAAAGGAAGGCGCGGGGCACCGAGCGGGCTGGTGATGGGCCAAGGTCACCCGGCTGGGTTCGGGCCGGGGACGCCGCGTCCGAGGCGGGCCGGGGGGCGTCGCGGTTGACAGGCCGGCGCGGGGGCGTGGCCCAGCCCCTGGGCGCCACCCGGGGCCCCCGGCCGCTTCACCTTCTTGAGGCGCTCCATCAGGACGCTCTTGTTGCCGCCCGTGTCCAGGTTCCGCTTCTTCAACTCCGCCCGCAGGTCCACCACCCGCAGCTCGCTGAGCCGCCGCGTCCCCGTCTCGGAGTCGCCCAGGCCGACAGCGGCGGTGCCAGAGCCCGAGTCACCCGGCTCCGCTAGCGTCTCCGCCATCGCGCGGGTCCTGTCTCGGCCACCTACTCCTCACACCGCCGGCGGCTGTAGCGGCTCTGAGCACAAAATGGCGCCGCCTAAGAGGAAAACGCATTCGCTTCCTCCCGCCCAGCTTTCCGGCCGCGCATGCGCGCCGCCTCCACCAGCGTTCTTCGCCGCCGGCGCGCTCGCGTGTCGACCAACCGCACGCTCCCCGCCACAGCGCGCATGCGCCACGGCCGCAGCGCGCATGCCTACCGGTCTTTCCCGGCGGGAGGCGGCCGGGGCGCAGAGCGCCTGCGCATAACCTCCTCCCCACCCAGGGTTCGCACTGCGCCTGTGCACGTCCGACTTAAAGAGTCGGCCCCGCGCCGGATACGCCTGCGCAGACGTGAGGCGCGCCGGGGCGGCTGGAGCAGTTCCCTCTCAGGCGGCGCCATTTTGTGCGAGGAGCCGAGATCCTAGCGGCCCGGTTCTGTGTGAAGTGGGCAGCCGAGCCAGGGTCCCTGGAATGGCGGAGACTCTATCAGGCCTAGGCGATTCGGGTGCGGTGGGCGCAGCGGCTCTGAGCTCCGCCTCGTCGGAGACGGGGACGCGGCGCCTTAGCGACCTGCGGGTGATCGACCTGCGGGCGGAGCTGAAGAAACGGAACCTGGACTCCAGCGGCAACAAGAGCGTTTTGATGGAGCGCCTGAAAAAGG